AACATATAATACAAACCATGAATACAAAGTACAGCATTTTTCTTAAATGCAGGTTATCACACATTCAGTGCACTGAGATCAACCCTTTTTAATAAAACAGAACAAAATGGAAAATATCAAAGCATATTTACACTTATTTGACATAAGACAAACAAATCTCATGATATAACATCTCTGAAATGTTAACAAGTACAAAGTACTTCTGCACAAAGTTCAGAACAGTAGCCTTCAACTGCCCCATTCTATTATCAGTAGAAACCAAGTTAAAAAGAAATAAACCCAGGGAATACAACCAAAAACCTTCTTTTCCTTTTCTCATATGTCTAATCAGTTTGTGAAACTCTTCAGTCCATTTTAGACGTATTCACTGAATTAGACCCCTCCTCTCCTTCCCACTGTCACAGATTATGTCTTTTGGCTCAACTGCTGCACAGACCTCCTGCTGGAGCGGCTGCCCAAGCCAGCCTCTACCCTACTATCAGAAAATACACTTACATCATTCTTTTGCTTACAAAGGTCTGTGGGTTCCCTACTGCATATTAAATAAAACTCAAAGTCCTTAACTTTGGCAAAGTTCTTCACCAACTGGCAACCCCATTTTCTAACACTACAACTCCTACCTCCCCTGCTCCAGTTCCCAACACTCTGTAGCTGCACATACCTAACCACTGCCTCCAAAGAGATCAGGTCCCTTCTGACTCCAAGCTACTTCTCTCTCTCTTCTTTAAGAGTCTCGATTCAGAATTAACTTGCTCTAAATGTTTTCTCTGATTCTTCCAGGGAGTATTAAAATAGCTACTATTTTGTACTCTCCCAATATATCATTTAAAATACCATAACAACATTTACTAATCTATATTAATATGACTTTCTTCTTCCTCACCAAATAAGAACAGTGAAAAGCAACTTTTTTCGTCTCTAGCACAGAGCTGCACATTTAAGACAGGGTCTCAATAAATGTAGTGTTATAACCACTGGGTAACCAATAAATGTTCCTAGTATAAAATAAAATTTTGGAAGGTTTATAATTAGATCTTAAAAATATTCTTTCTTTTAGAAGGATTAAAACAGAGTTGGGGGGTGGGTTGGTTGTCTATTTTAAAATCCAGGAAATTTTAAGCTATCCCTTGAGACAGTGTGCATTTAAGCATCTATTTAAAGTTCAGTAAATATTTTCCAAGGCAGCTAAAAAAATTTTTTTTAAAAAAACTAATAATTAAAAGTGATTTGAGGGGCTGTTGGCCAAAATTCCAAAAAAATTGGGGAAAACAATCTTCAATAAGCATCAAAGGCACTAAAAAGGTCACCAAAAAAATAAATAGAAGATTAAAACACAGAAAAATACCCACATTAATAGTAATCAGGAAACAGAAACAGAAAATCTTGTACCCTACTGGAGAATACCTAGGTAAAGTGAAAAAACCTAATACCATAGAGGTATCTGTTATTCATCCCTCTCTTCTACTTCAATTCAGTACTGTTTATCTCCAGGGTAAATGACTCCAATTATCTTAATTTTTCTTTAATTATAGAATTAACAGTATAGCATAGTGGGAAAAAATGTGGACTATGAAACTAGATTGCCTGGGTTCAAGTTATGTACCACTCTTACAAGCAGTGAAATCTTGAGTAAGTCACTTAGCCAATCTGTGCCTCAGTTTCTTCATATGTAAAAAGAGGGGAAAAAATTATAGTATCTATCTTTTAGAGCTATTGTGATAACTGAATTAATATGCAAAGATATTTTTCAAAGGGCTAAACATAAAAACAGACACATAGATCAAAAGAACAGAATAAAGAGCCCAGAAATAAATACCAGTCAATAAATGGTATTGAGAAAACTGGACAACCACATACAAAAGAATGAAACTAGACTTTATCTAACACCACACATAAAAATCAACTCACTGGGTTAAAAAATGTAAGACTTGAAACCATGAAAGTCCTAGAAGAAAACACATAGGGTAACCTCCTTGACATCAGAATTGGCAATGATTTTTTTTTTGATTTGACATCAAAAGCAAAGGCAACAAAAATAAAAAATGAAAAGTATGCTACATCAAATAAAAAAGCTTCTGCACAGCAAAGTAGATCATCAACAAAATGAAAAGCCAATCTATTGAGTGGGAGAAAATATTTGCAAGCCATCTATCGGATAAGGGATTAATATCCAAAACAGAGAACTAATTCTCACAACTCAATAGGAAAAATAATAATAATAATTTGATTAAAAATTAGGAAAGGAACTAAACAAATATTTCTCTAAAGACATACAATTGGCAACAGCTACATGAAAAGGTGATTCACATTACTAAGCAGCAGGGAAATGCAAATCAGAACCACTATCAGATCTTCATTCCTATTAGAATGGCTATTATCAAAGACATAATAACAATTGTTTGCAAAAATGTAGAGAAAAGAGAAAGCTTGTACACTGTTGGTGGGCATGTAAACTGGTGCAGCCACCATAGGGAAGTATGGAGGCCCCCCATACTGAAACTAAAAATAGAACTATCATATGATCCAGCAACCCACACTTCTGGGTATATATCCAAAGAAAACAAAATCAGTATCTCAGAGAGATATTAATATCTACATCCCCCACCCCACCCCCACCCTGTTCACTGCTGTATTATTTATAATAGCCAAAACATAGAAACTACTTAAGGGTCCATCAACTGATGAATGACTAAAGAAACTGTGTTTGTACAGAATGGAATATTATTCAGCCACAAAAAGAAGAAAATCCTGCCATTTGTTGCAAGGTGAATGGACCTTGAGAACATCACACTAAGTCAAATACCCAGAGAAAGACAAATGCTGTATAATCTCATTTAGACACAGAATCAAAACAAAACTCATAAAGACAGGCAACGGACTGGTGGCTTCCAGGAGCAGGGAGTGGGAGGGTGGGAGAAAAGGAAGAAGGTGGTAAAAAAGCAGAAATTACCAGGTATAAGATAAATAAGTTTGGGGATATAAAGTACAACTTTGTAACTATAGTTAAGAATACCATACTGTATATTTGAAAGTTAATAAGAGAGTAAATCTTAAAAGTTCTCATCACAAGGGAAAAAAATTATTAATATGTGTGATGATGGATGTTAACTAAGCTTACTATGGTAATAATTTTGCAATATATATATTTCAAGTCACTATATTGTATACCTTAAACTAATACAATGTTACATATCAATTATATCTCAATCAAGCTGGGGGAGAAAAATCCACCTCAATCTAAGTTAATTGGCTTTCTTGCATTTAAGGATTTCAATAAATTGAAGTTTAAGTAATTAACAGCTAGTATTCTTTGCATTCTAAATATAAAAATGATATCTAGACATTATTAACTATTATTATTAAAACTATTATTAGTATTAGTACTAAAATTATTAATAAAACTAATTTTAAAAAACATTACCACCGAAGTTATAACACTATATAATCTTCAAATGTGATTCTAAATTTTCTTATTTTCAATTTGAGTATAATAAGGAAGAGCTTTAAACTAGGTTGGTTCAGGCTGAGGTTAAAATTAACTCAATAAGGCCAAAATCAGATGAATAAATAAGTGGTTCACCTTTCACATAAAAAGTGTGAATCCAAACCAGTAACATTCTAATCATATAAGACAAGGAACTCAGGAGGGTTAAGGTAGCAACCAGTAATAGGTAAGACTATCTCTATGAAAAAAATCATGTGCTTGTTGATTTCATATGTGGACAGGCCACAGATATCCTATCTTATATTCTGGTTATATGAAATGCTGTATTCAAAACAGTATTTTCGGAGCTATTTGGAATGAAGGCCACATAATTCATTTAGTCTCTCAAAAAGCCTTTGTTTCTATCTATAGCCTGGAAAAAAATTGGTATGATTAAAAAAACCACTATAAACAGGAGGGAGTATAACAAGTGGTATTCCAGAGGGGTTTACCTCTGTGTTTGAATGCAACTATTTCATAATATGAATTAATAGAGAAAATATTCTACATGGTAGCAAATTAAGTCCAAACTTAAGAAGGATCATCAGCACCCAGAAGAAATAAAAGTCCCAGTAAAAATAAACACTGTTAAGTAAAGTTGCTAGACCTAATGAAAATTCATATAGTCATTGGTCTCCAATGAAAGCAGAGTAAGCTCATTATTTCTCAATCAGTCTTTAATTTTCCAATACTTAAGAGCCAAAACTAAAACAGAATGTCAATTTCAAACACTCCAAAACAAAGTTTTGAGAAAATTTATAAAATAACACCCCCAAATTTAAATCCTTTATTTCCAGTCAAACTTCTCACTCAGTACATTATTCTTAAAATGAGATAGGATGTTCAGAATTAATGAAAAAGCTTCAAAAAAGCGTCAGGAATGTCATGATAAAGCAATGTACATTGACTGTGATCAATAAACACACAATCTCTGCCTCTACACGACAGTAAAACCACCTCATAGAAAACTTAAAACTTTACATGATATGTAGTCCATGTAGTCTATGAGGAGGTTTTTCATCCCATTCTTTCAGAAGGTTAGTTAAAAACGAGAGTTCACTTCAGAATTCTGACTTTAGTATTGAAACAGCATCAATAAAGCAATGAAGACATCTACTATGTAAAGAGGGCATAAAACAAAGTTCCTGATCTTAAATCTACTCTCTTTAAAGTAATTTAAAATCTCTTTAAAGTAATTTAAAACTTTACCCAGTTCAGATGCCCTAGGCAGAATCCTATAGTCAAGATTCAGCCACTGTTCAGTGAGGAGTCCCAGGAGACACTACCCCTAGTTTCGAAACTGAATGTCCCAGGCAAACCCAAACAGTTGGTCACCCTAGCTTGATTAAGTGGTAAGGGCCAAGAAGGCGACCCAAACACTTTCTAAGCACCAATCCTATAAATCCAATAAAATGGGCTGATTGGATTAGAGGATCTTTAATCCCTACTGGTCTAAAATTTTTAAATCTCTGAAACTAGGCAGTGGCACTGATCTAGTCTCTCTGTCATATCTTACTTGGCCTCTTGGAAGCATGCGACTCTGACTCTTCTGAAGGTTAACTTCTGACTCTTCTGACGCCTTCCTTCAGTCTCCTCTCCTCTGGAACATTATATTCTCCAGGTTTCACTCCTACCTCACTGGTGGCGGCTCCTTCATGGTTTCTCTTTGGATGGATCTTCTTCCTCTACCTGACTAGAAAACGTTAACCTCGGCTGTCTTCTGGATACTCTACATGATCGTGTTTAAACACCATGTTCAAACTCTCTACCTCCAGCCCTCCCACCTCCCCACTGAGATCCAGATTTCCATGCCCAACATCTCACCTGAACCTCTAAAACACATCTCAAACTCCATCCGGGCCTAAAACAGAACTCTTAATTCCACTTCCTTCCTCACCTTCCCCACCTTATGAAATGCCACTACCATCCATTACAATTACTGAAACTCCCAGTAAGACTTCATCTTTGATTCCTCTTTTCATCATTTGCCACCTCCAAACCATCAGTAAATCCTGTTAGCTCTATTTCTGAAGTATATTCCAGACTCATTCTGTTCTCTCCAGCCCACTCTTACCACTCTAATCCAAACTATCACTTTCACCCAATCACTGCAATGACCTATTAACCAGTTTCTCTACTACCAATCTTTTCCCCATCCCACCACAACTTCCTCCCCCCACAAAACAGCCAGGAGTGATCTATCAACACCAAGGACAGTGAGTGTCTGCTTCATCTCCCCAGTACGTAGAACAAAAAACAAGGTCTGCCTTGCAGTAGCACTGAATGTGGTCAGTGAAAGAATGAACAGTCATCTCCCTAACCACCCACAACTGCCTTCCCCTCACACAGAATAGAACCTAAAATTCTCACAAATTCTTACAGGACCCCCTCACCTCATATCCCTGGTCACTATGCTCCAGACTCACTGATATTCTTCAAACTCCCCAAATTCATTTCCACCCTGGAGCCCTTTGTTTACCCTCTGCCTGAACACTCCTGCCCTCATGTGCCTGGCTCCTCATCACTCAGGTCTCAGAGCAATGTTACCTCCTCAGAGAGGCCTTGTCTACCCAGATCCACCCATCCTGCATCATCTCACTCAGCTCCCTTTTCTTCACAGTACTTAACATTAGCTGAATTATCGTGTTGTTGGTTTACTTACAAACTGTTTCCTCCCTACTAGCACGTAAGTTCCCTTAGAGCTGGGAATTTTCTTGTTCAATGTTGTACTCCCAGAGGCCAGTACAATGCCTACCACACAATACATACTCAAAGAATGACTCACATTTACCAAGTAGTTATGTATGTGCCAAGCACTATGCTAGGTAACAACAATGGATTTTTTTTTAATTAAAGAAAAATAGAAAGTGCAAGTAAAATATTAGTATGAAGAGCAATTTGATGTTCTTTTATGTTGATCATCCCCATTCTTAAAATGACCTTACACAATAAATTCCACTCTGTAGAATATTATTTTGCCAGTGTAAATATACATATCCTTAAAGTAATAATAATAATTAGCATCTCATTATAGCTTTAGAAGTTATCTAAATGATTGCATTATTCACTTTTAATATAGAATTTGAGGGAACTAATTTAGATAAAATGCAGTAAAATCTGAGAGACTTCATTTCATCTTCTCAGAGCACACACGGACACATCTGATCCTGTCAGGAAACTTGAGACTGTAAAATACCTTCTGTTCTCAACATACAGAAACATTCACAACAGAGGCTGTCAACTCACCATTTATTGCCTGGCCTCAGATTAGTTTACCACCTTAGTCAAGCCAAGAAGCTATCAGTAATAATCAGGTTCATTTCACAAAAGTCATTACTAAACCTGAGATTAACCACTCATCCCTGAAAGCCTATTATAAAAGAACATGCTCAACTGAGTTTAGGCAGAAGAGTTATGTTTCATTGGTATCACTGTACTTTTGGGTTCACCTAATTCAAAACCACAGAAAGCCTTAGTTTTTGACATAATCATACCAGTTACTACCACCATCATTATGCCATCACTAAACACCTTACAGCCAGGCATCAACCAGGGAAAGGCAGTGAGGCACTGAAGGCGTGAGGCACTTCTTCAGATCGTGTAAGTATTTTCTATAACATTTTAATTTTAGCATACTTTAAAACTGTCATATCCTACCTCCAAACGTTTTAAGGATTAAATATATTAATATTTTGAAAGTATGGTTTATAAAAAGCAACAAATTCAATATAACTAAGTGCAAGTACTCAAAATATCACCATATCATATTAGATGTTTAAAACCTAAGGGAAATACATCCATCTTTCACCCAACTTTGAAACTATTATACATTTTGAATAATGGAGTATTCTCAAATACACTCAACCAAATCATAAAAAAAATAACACATGTTCTACTTAAAATTAAGTTTTCTATATATTCAAACTGGATAACCCAAAAGGACCTATTGTATAGCTAATGGAACTCGACTCAGTGTTATGTGCCAGTCTGGACGGGAGGGGGTTTGGGGAAGAATGGATACATGTGTATGTATGGCTGAATCCCTTTGCCGTTCACCTGAAACTACCACAACATTGTTAATCGGCTATACCCCAAAGCAAAAAAAAAAAAATAAGTTGAAAGTTTGAAAAAAATAAAATAAAAGCAGGCAAAGAAAAATAAAATAAAATTAGCTTTCTAACCACACTTGCCAATCAAAAAGAGGGAGGGGGCACTTTTGCTTGATCTTTGCATGCGAATATAAGAAAATACTCATTTCATTTTCATTTATAACAGTTATCTCTGTAAAGCTGAAAAACTGCAGATAAAGCCAAGGCAAAATTAAATCCTACAGCAAAGGTCCAAAGTTCAGTACTTTCCATACGCACTAATTATTCCTACTTGTTTTAATTGCCATTACCTTAAAAAGAAAGTTTTCTCCAATTTTTTAGAACTGGTTCTATATGATCTTTGGTTTTCTCTTTAGTCTAGTTTAGTTGTCTGTTGTTTAGTTGTTGTGTCCAACTCTTTGCAACCCCATGGACTGTAGCCTATCAGGCTCCTCCGTCCATGGGATCTCCTAGGTAAGAATACTGGAGTGGGTTGCCATTTCTTTCTACAGGGGATCTTCTGGACCCAGGGATCGAACCTGTAACTCCTATACTAGCAGGCAGATTAGTCTAGTTAAATAACTGTATAAACAAACTAGTTTCTGGACATCTAGGATTAACCCCCATATTGAGACAAGCTTATTTAAATACTAGAAATTATTTATGTATCCCTGTCTTAATACTGGCCCTCAAAACCAAAATGATTGCTAATAAATTCAATCAGAAGACTGGTTCCTTCTGCTTTCAGAAAAGCTCTAAAATCACTCAAGTTAGTCAAAAGGTAATATTGGGCAGTGTTTCAAATATACAAATTTTCTTTAAATGCTAAGAAAAAAAATACCCACATGAACCAACTCAGAGGTCATTATTTTGACCTTCGCCACCTGCTCATTTGCTAAAGAAACCACACTTAAGTTTTACAAATGAGGTATAAATTAAGCTCCAAAAATAATTTTAAAGGTTTGCTTTACTTAAGAGAATAAACATAAATAATTACATTACTATTCTGTAAAAGTAATCTATTCTTAGCATACAGCTGAAGAAAAATTATATTGGAAAGACATGCCCTGACTTACCAAAGGTAAGATACTGTCAAAGATTAGATAAAATAAATACATTGTAAAGATATAGTGTCCGAATTTACTAAATTTGGATAGTATTTATAAAGCATCTTCTTCCACTATATTCTTTGCCACAGCAAAGGTTTAGACACTGCAATATAACCTCCAAGTCCCTTCTTCAGTTAATTAACAATTTCTAAGCACTATGATGTTTTCTTCTCCATAAAAAACAATGGAATAAATGGATACAATGCTTGGGTGATATTATACCTTCAAATATGTTGTTATAACAAATAATTTCAAGAGGTTAGTTTGCAAAGATATTACAGATGGCTTCTGACATGAACAGATAAATTGAAACCACTCCCTCCAGCCTCTGGGGATAATGAAGTGCCTTCTCACTGACTGAAGTTACTGTGATTGCAGAATTGTAAATACCCAATAAGCATCAGAAACTTCTCAACTCCTGTCTCCTCCTCTTAGGAAAAATGATATACATTATAGAGAAAATAATTTCCTACTTTTTTTAAAAAACTAAACTCATGCCTAGCATTGCAGGACCAAATTTAAGAGAACAATTTCAAATCTCACTCTGAATTTGAAAGTTTATCTATGTCTAGACCTAATGTACACTATGCCACTACATTTAAGAGTGTATTATTATATGCTTGAAATGTGTTAAGAGGGTAAATCTTAAAAGTTTTCTCACCAAACACATAACACACAAAAAAAACTGTAACTATGAGGTGATGGATAGGTCAACTAGTTTGACTGTGGAGATCATTTCACAATGTGTATATACACATGTGTATATCAAAACCAAGTTGCACATATTAAGTATATTACAATTTCTAAATGTCAATTACACCCTCAATAAACCTGAGAAAATTATGTCTAAAAAAAAAAATCACATCACAAATTTCTAAAGTATCACAGAACTGCATTATTTGAATTTTTAACAGAAATCTGAGTTTGTGTCTGATATTTTTTAAATAGCAAAAATACTACCAACAAAAAAAACACTTCCAAATGCTTTTCTGTTTTGTTTGCAAATCGCCTTGAACGTGTATACCAAAATGTCAGTTACACAAGTAAGGCTCAAACATTTTGTGTGACAAGGTTACTTAACAGAGGAGTCCTAGAAGCACCGGGAGTTGCAGGAAAATTTTTGTGTGTGTACATATGGCGGCTTTTTCTGGATAAATGATCCATATAACTTGCAGCTTCTGGGGTGAGGGAAGGGGAGGTAGGTGGTTCAAAATACAATTAAGATTAAATTAAAGCGCCTGAAAAAAACAGCCAACATCCTGTAACTTGTCAATGTCAGATAACCAAGTCTTATTTTTTACATTCCTGATCAGGGGACGATTTATTCCAATTTGGTGGCTCCTACACAACTTTCAAGGGATGCAGGCATGAAATGGCTCTGCATTACAAAACAGTTCCCTTCACACACCCAACGCGGCAAACCCCAAATTTCCCCAGAAAAGGCCAGGAACAGACAAACGGATTAACAGCCCCTCTTGCTCAAAGATCGACTGGCTTTGGCAGGACGTGTCCTCCAGAGAGAACTGCTGGGCGGTGACCAGGTTTCAGTGAGGAGATGGACCCCTGGGCGGGCACCAGCAGGCGAGACACCCCAGCCTCCTCCTACCCCAAAACGCGCCCTCCAGTAGGGTCTGCGGGCGCGGCTGCAGCAGATCCCGGCGCCCGTGCCGCGCGCAGCGCCGCCGCCGCTGCAGCACGGTCGCAGCGACCTTCCCGCCCGGATCTCCGGGAGCCCCGTTACCCACGTCCCCACACCCCACCCGAGAAAAAAGGGAGGGGGACGCACAACAAAGCCCAATCCGAGGAGGCCCAAGCGAGCTGTAAGTTGGGGAGCCGGGGCTGAGGCCCGACGAGGAGCAGCCGGGACACCGCGATGCCGGACGGATCGGGCCGGGGAGGCGGGCAGCCAGATGTCAGCCCGCCCGGCTGGGTGTCGGCAGCCGGGAGGAAACCAGGCTGGCGGGAGGGCGGGCGCGCGGCTGGGGGGAAGCCAGGCCGGAGGAGGGAGGGGGGCGGCGGCGGCGGCGGGGTCCCCAGGGCGCCGCGGTCGGCCGCGACCCCCACCCCGGCCGGCGGCCTGTCCCGTTACTTACCCGCTGGGAAGCTGCGGGCTTCGCCGGGGCTGTCCCGGCCGCCGGCCTCCGGGGCCAGGAAGCGCCCCCACATCGCGGGCGGGAGTGCCTGGTGGGCCGGGGGCGCCCGACTCCCCACGCCCGTCCTCCGCTGCCTTTGCCTTCTGCTTCTTCGGCGGCGGAAACTTGTGAGGAGCCTGGGCTGCGGCGGCACCCGCGAGGCGGGGCGAGCGAGTGGGCTGAGCAACGGCCGCTCAGCGACGGGAAGGGGGCGCAGGGGCCGGATTCGCCGCGGCGGCGGCGGCTGCCATGGTCGGCCCAGCTGTGCTGAGGCCCGGGCCAGGGAAGCGGCGGCTCCGCGGTGGCGGCGGCTCGGTCCGCGGCCGAGCCCAGGCTGTGAGGCTCCAGACGAAGTTGCAGCTGAGGCTTCTCTTCACCCCCTCCGCTCCGGGAGCCCGAGCCCGAGCCCTAGCCGGAGCCGGGCAGGGGCGGGGCCTAGCGGGGGCGGGGCTTAGTGCGCTTACAAAAGGCGTGCGCGGCGCGGGGCGGGGCCTGCGGGCCGTTCCAGGTGGGTACCGTCAAACCCTTTTGCTCCGCAGTTGGCGAATAGTCTGTCCGACATACCTGCTGTATCCCACTTTTCCCATCCCAGCGCTCCGTGAGGTGAAGAAAGGGCGGAACTTGGCCCAGGGACCTGTCTTGGACTTGTCTTGAGCTTCCCTGCTCCGTTGGTTAATCCCTCAGGCCCTCCGGGGCACCTTTCAGAAAAAGGCTTGGAAGACGGGCCGTCACATCAAGACTGCTTGTGTTAAAAGAGGGTTGAGGGACTTCATCTCATTTGGGGTTGAATTAAAGTTGTCATCATGAATTCTGTAAGCATCGTTTATTGATCATTGTGGAGAATAATAAAGAGGTCATTTCCCTAAATTTACAACCGAAATTGAGAAGGCG